TATCATATTATCATTAGTCGTTTATGTCTGTATCCTCCATCCTCTATGCCCCACCATACTATATTCTACTAGAGGACAGAGACCATGTGTCACTCCTCTTTGGATTCTTAGAATTTGGTACAGAGTAGGACCCACTGCAGGGCCTCAATATATATTTGAAATAAACCAGAATTTTAGAAGTTTATTATGACCTCATATTTATAAGTCATTAAGTATGGATTCATGACTAGAGAAAACAAACAGTAAAATTAGGGCAATATCAACTAATATTAACTGGATACTTACTAAGAGCTTGGCACTGTCCTAAGTAAGAATTCTAACAACTGCTCTATGAAGCAGGATTTACACTATCAACAACTAACTGATGAAAAACGGAAGCACAGAAAGATAAATTGACTTAACCAAGGGTCCCAGCCAGAAAGAGTCAGAACCAGAATTTGAACCCATAAAGCCTAGTTCTGGCGTACACATTTTAAACCTAACTATTCTGCCTGTTCATGTGCTTTGATAATGGGGAGCTGTGAAGCTGAGTAGTCATTTGTTTTCCAGAACAAACTTCTTGTAAACTAGTTGTTCCTCTAAACCCAAACCCACTGCTACTGAGTCAATTCCTACTCAGTGACCTTATGCAGGGCTTCTGAGAAGGCAAGTCTTTACAGGAACACACAACCTCATCTTTTTCCCTTGTAGTGGGTGGCGGGTTTGAACCACAGATCCTGCAGTTAGCAGTTCATTGCTGATCCCACAGTACCACCAGGGCCCTTTCACATAAATTCAGAGTAAGCGTAGGAAGGCACGGGGCTGTTTTTTTTCTCCAAACTCTATTCAATACTCATAGTAGACTAACAGGTAAGTAGAGAGAGAAAAACAGGTATTTTAAAGTTATTTTCACATTGATGAGATGAAAACATTTACAAGCTTTTAAATACCTTAAAAACTGTAGTGGATTCTAGGCTATGAAGATTTCATTAAGAGACATCCTGTATATACAAATATATAAACGACCTTGCATCTAAATACATCTTACTCCTCCATAGTTTTCTTTTCATTCAATGGCACACAAGAAATTAAATACCATCAAAAATAAAAAATTTCCAAATCATTGACTCAATGGGAAGAATTACCTCAGAGAGGAATTTTACAAAACATTATATATCAGATACTCTGTTTGTAATAAAAGCTTTAATATATTCCATCAGAGTTATGGTTCAAGAAAGGTAGGACTCCTAAAGAACAGTTTTATCCATTTAAATGGCAAACGCTAGGTATTTGAGTAGGAAAGCTTCCTAAAGATTTTGGCACTATAATTTATCATGCCATTTTGTTATATCTGCAAAGAATGATTTATTCTGAACGATATTTCATAACTGAACTTTCTATTCAAATGGAATTAAATTTACTGTACATTAATACGTACTTTGGTGGCAAGACATTAATGTTCATCTGACACCATCACCAACTAACTGAAGTTATATTAAAGAAGAAGTAAGATTGATTCCAGTGAATCTTGACTAAGTGGGTACTTCCATTGTTTAATCTGACGGTTATTGATTTTGAAACTGTTCTTGCCATTGAAAACTTCAGTTAACAGTATAAATTTTTATAATTTTAGTGTTAAAGTCAATCCTTCATAATTAAGAATAATACAAAAAATGAATTTTTTTCATTTGAAAGGTTAAGCATTTAATGGTAAATGGAAGAGCAGTGACCTATATATAAATATTCATATTGGTGTGGACATAAGGATTTTCAACTACATTTGTTCCCTCTGGCTTTAGGTAAAGATCAAAGGCAAAGTGGACCAAAATTCTTCGTTGGTCTCTTACAAACCGTCTAACACTGTACTCTATACAACAGATGAATAAGGAAATCAACATCTAAATGTAAAAGAATGAATACAATTTGATGTAAGGCATTTTTCTTAACGTCTAAAAGATTTATATCCAATAACTGATTGTTGCTGTTGTGAAGTGTCGTGGATTCAGTTGTGACTCATAGTGACCCTGTATAGGGTTTCTGAAAAGCAGCTGGTAGGTTTGAACTGCTGACCCTGAAGTTAAAACCAGTGCTTATCCTACAGTGCCACACCAGATGTCCTTAATAACTGATTACCTGAGTCTAATGTTGAGCATTTATGAACATTTACTACTAAATTTTTAATTTCTACCCCAAATAAAAGAGCTCTGGTAACACAGTAGTTACAAGTCAGGCTGCCAACCTCAAGGTCAGCAGTTCAAAGCTACCAGCCGTTCTGCAGGAGAAAGATGAGGGGTTTCTGCTCCTGTGAAGATTTATAGCCTTGAAAACCCTGTGCAGGATCGCTGTGAGTCAGAACTGACTGCACGGCACAACACCAGCCCACAACTTCAAACAGAAATTCTTAATTTCTTCCACAGCCTGACTCCTATTCGTTACTGTCCTACAAATCTCCAAGTTCCTCACACTTGAAATCTTGAAGTAATCTTTGTTTCTTCTTCATTTCTACTGACTCAAAACACCAAGCTCAGTGAATCTGCCTACTGACAGAAAATGGTCACCGTGCACTCATAGTCTCCACCTCCCATTCTCTTCTTACTCCACTGCCCTGCCTGTTTGCCCACACACCAAAACTAATCTAGTTGAAGTCACGTGGCTTCCTGATTGCCATATTCCCTACATATTTTTCAATTTTGACTATTCTCCCCTAGTTTCCAGGATACTATACTTTTCTCTGCACCACTTTCTCATTACTCTCCTGTCCACTTCATGGATTCCTCTTCCTTTGCCATCCTTTAAATTAAGTGGGTGTACCTTTGTATTTCCTGTTATAACCTCTATTTTTTTCCTTTTTGCTGTTGTTGTACTCTCTCTGCAGACACTTTCATTTATTCTCATGATTTTAAGGGCTATCTCAAAACTAAGGCAGTACAAGTATCTAAGTCACACCACTCCCTAAGACTTCAGCATATATTTACCTTTAAACATCTGACCTGGAATATCTTACTCAACATTTCTATCTTCCCTGTCTCCACTCTATTCTAATTTCTACACTCCAAATTTAGAACCTTACCAATGTTATCCACATCACATATCCATCTCTCCAATTTCTTAATACAGTAGCCATCAAAAAATTTGTGAAAAAATTCCATTAGCTTTAAATTTCATTCTTCCATGAACTGTCTGAAGCCCCCTCATATGTATTGGGAGTCCTGGTGTGGCTCTGTAGGATAAGCACTGGACCACAAAGTCAGTTTGAACCGCAAGACCAGCAGTTCAAACTCATCAGCTGCTCCTTGGAAACTCTACACATGGTTGCTGAGTTGGAACAAACTCGACAGCACTTAACAACAACATATGTACTGAATACCTAGAAAGAGTTGTGTACTGTTATAGGCCCTGGGGATACAACACTGACAGAATGGACAATAGCCCTGCTTTCATGGAGCTTACCTCCTTGTGAATATTGCAGTTGCCTATATGACTGGTCCTACTGGGTTCCAGTCTTACCCAAAGCGCTAACCCTCAACGGAAATGTCCTATACAAAGTGCAAACCTGAGCATGCCACCTCCTGCTTCAAGTCTTTCAAGCTTTCTGTCACATGCGGGATAAAGTCCATGATCCTAGGCAAGAATCTAAGATTGTTCCTACTACTTGCTTCTTCACCCTCCCATTTCCGCACTATTCTGGACTCACTGTCATCAACACTGGACTACTGGACTTCCCTGCACACCTCATGAGGCTAGCCTTAATGTTGCTATTTCTGTTCTAGGAATATTCACTCCACTCTTAAATTGGTAACTTGTAGAAGCTCTGGTAACGTAGTAGTTACGAATCAGCCTGCGAACCTTAAGGTCAGCAGTTCGAAACTACCAGCCACTCCATGGGAGAAAGATGAGTCTTTCTGCTCCCGTAAAGATTTACAGCCTTAGAAATCCTGTACAGGATTGCTATGGGTCGTAACTGACTCGACGGCACTTAACAACAACAAACAGTACAGAGGAGTCCTGGTGTGGCACTGTGGGTTAATGCGCCAGACTGCAAAGCCGTTTGCACTGCAAGGTCGGCACTTCAAGCTCACCGGCTGCTCCTCGAAAACCCTATATAGGGTCGCTATGGGTTGGAACTGACTCGAAGGCACTTCACAACAACTTGTCTTTTAAGATCCACTTCAGGCATGCCCATCTTCAGAGGGCCTTCCATGATCACTCCCCTTGTGTTCCACAGGGCACTGTGATTCCTACACTGCCAGCATACAGCACATTATACAAACTGTTAGCTTACTTATGTCTTAGCCCTTTGACCAAGCTACCAATGTTGCTTAACCTCCCTTCCTCTACTGCTACTAGCCCTCATTAACCCTCATCTGTATTATTGCATATGGTCTCTTCATCTCTACTTTCTACCTATTCTAGCCATTCCAAATACCTCAATACACAAAAGTGACTGTGTATTTCTTCCTCAATCCAGAAGTTTCACGATTCCCATTCCTCTATCATTAGTGCAATGATTTATCTAAAATCATTAGTACATGGAAGTGGCATTTAATTACTGTGACTCACAGAAGAAGAAATTCCTTTTTAATTATCTTTACATTTTTCTAACTGTGTTAGGGCAAAAGTTTGGCTCTGAAAATGTTTTGCATATGTATACAACCCTTGATGAACCCTTTTGGTATAAAGAACAGGCCTCAAGACAGAGTCTCACAGAAGAAAGTATCTAGCCGATTTATTTTCAGTATGCTTATTTTTATGGCTACGTTTTTTCAATTTTGGAAAATGTTTGCAGAAAAAATTCATTATTTTTGATTTCACTTTTTTCATAGATTTTTTTTTAAGCCCTTTATATTCTTCCACCTAGTAGGTGTTAAGCATTTTCATGGGAGGGATGCAAATGGAATAAATTTCATCCATCTTTATACCACCACAGGACTTAAGAAAGTGCCTGAGAAACAGAGTAGGCTTATAATTAATATTGGCTGAATTGAAATTAACATCTCAAGCAAGATTCTTGTGGCACTTACAATTTTGCGCTTGACCATGAAGAGAGGGATTTTTGCATGAAGAGGGGTTGAGGACAGTTCCTTATGAACCGTTGATAAATACAATCTTCGTTTGATGTTTCCTAAATCAGTAATTCTGGAGAAGAAAAGAGAGATGGAGAGAATAGAGAAAGATTCTCATTAATTTAATAGCTGCTTCTTTGGACAATCATCAAAATGATATAAGTTATCATACAGACCCTTTCCAACAGGGAGATAAAACACAAATTTAAGAATTGCCTTTTTCTTTCAAGAAGTAATAAAATTTCTTCCTTAAATTCAAAGTGCTCACAAGTCTGACTGTATAAACTCACTTAATATGCTAATTTATTTTAGTACTCTACACTAGATTTCCACAGTCATCCAGCCTAAGAAAAAAATTCAATTTGTATGAACTGAGAAACTGCTAGCCTTTAATAACCATGCTTGTTCCAGCCCCTTATGCTGGTGTTATCTTGGGACATACTGTCACCTACTAAATAGAAAAACATTATGGGTTTCTTTCCCTAAAAATGCACCTGTCATTTTATATAGGCTCTTTGTCTGCTTAGAGACAGACACAAAGCACTGACTGTCGGTTTCACTTCCTAAGCACATATCTTCGGACCACAATTATAATACACAAGTTTATTGCTCACTATTCAGGTCAACCCACACTGATACCAAGGACACTGAATCTGAACACCTTTAATAGATTTAGACCACAGCCATGATCACAAAGATTAGGTCTGCTTCAAATTGATAGAGGCTCATTTTTATGTTCTGCTTCCTTTAGGTCTCAGAGGTAATACAACAGGCAAAAAATTTCCAAGCCTGTCTCAGGCTGCTATATTGTAGAATGGATGCTTCCTTAAAGATTGCCTTTTCATCTGAGGACAATAATTAATTTTTCACCTATTATTAGCAAGTTTGTCTATATGGACAACATTGCTAATTTTCTACAATTAGCAATTCCCTGGAGAGTCAACATTTCATTTGAATATACTGCTGCCAATATTTATAGTGTAATTAACTATTTTCAGAATCAACATCGCCTATTCAATAGCTCTTTCTTGCCTTCCTCTTCTTACATTCCTAATCTCATTATTTTCTCTCTAAAAAATACAAATCCTTCTGAGGAAAAACTACCACTGGACAATGCTAAGAACAGTTATGGTAAAAAATACTGTAGTGTAATTTCAGAGTAGGCCCCAAACCAAAAAATTTGACTCTAACTTCAATCTACAATGTCAGAGGTGCATTTAAAAAGTAGTAAAATCTTTTAGCCATTGTTGTTGTTGTTAAGTACTGTGGAGTCAGTTCCGACTCATAGCAACCCTGCAGAGTGTTTCTGAGGCTGTAAATCTTTACAGGAGCAGAAAGCCTCACCTTTCTCCCATGGAACAGCTGGTAGGTTTGAACTGCTGACCTTAAGGTTAGTAGCCTGACTCGTAACCACTACACTACTAGAGCTCCTTTTTTAACCTATAGTAAGAGATAAAGTTTAAAAAGTAAATGTTAATACTACGGTATTACACTTACACATGCTCATATAAGTAAACATAGGATAACATTTCTCCTAAGACAGTGGCTTTCAAAGTCTGATGAGGGTGGAAGTGGGTAGGAGGGTGGTACACAACAATTCAGTGAAGTGTATGGAAAAAAATGTTCAGACCTAGATGTGTTGGGTGTGTGAGAACTCCCAAACTGCCAGATAGTACCCACTTAGCCTAGCTTGGATGGCTCACTCTCCAGAACTCCACCAGATGAAGATAATAAAGTTAGATACCATGAGCAAGTGTCTATTGCTACAATTTGATAATTGGACCTTTGCTTATGGATGCAGTTGTTCAAAATTCCAACTGAATTGAAAGGCTTCTTCAGATCAAGGATCAGGCTTGTTTCTCAGTGCATTCAGGTGATAGGGACAGGCAGCTCAGATCTTGACTACCAAAAAATGGGGGGTTATAAAGGCATGAAATGGCTGGCTTATAAGCTTTCATGAGCGTGCTTAGTTTCAGAATGAGGGGGGTAAAACAGAAATCCCACTGAGTGAGTTTTCCTCTTTTCCAGATGGATCTGGTGAAACGGGATGGGGGATAATGGTGATAGGATTTTATGATTCAATTGTGAATAACTGTTATCAGTATTAATCACGATTATCACAACTACAATTGTAGAAGATGTGCAACTAAAAGGGGGGAGTAGTGGTGGTGTTATGTGCTGTGAAGTTGGTTCCGACTCATAGCGACCCTGTAGAGGGTTTCTGAGGCTGTAAATCTTTATGGGAGCAGAAAGCCTCATCTTTCTCCTGCGGAATGGCTGGTAGTTTCAAACTGCTGACCTTGCGGTCTGCAGCCCGATTCGTTACCACTACGCTACCAGAGCTCCAAAAGGGGAGGTAGTAGTTAATATTTAATTTCAAGAACAGAGGGCCTCAGGACCATCAAGAAAGAAGAGCATGAGTAGAGCGTGAGATACTATCTAAAAAAGTGACACCAACGAGACAGTGGCAAAGGAGATGGCATAGAGAGACAGAGTAGCTGAGGACTCGAGGCCCAAAGACTGAGAAAGATTGTGCACCTGCGGGCAGAAGAATGGCTTGCAAAATGTGCCCTTTGGACATTTAAATGAAAATATATTTTTTGTTATGTGTATGTATATGTAATATTTTTGCTTTGTTCATTTGTGAAATATCATATGTAAAAGAGAAACTACAGGGCAGAAGCAGGATAATTGTTCTTACAGGAATGGAGTGCAATCATTGAGATGAAACAAAAACGTATGCTTGGTTGAAAGTAAGGCTGATGATCGTGCCTGTCTACTTTCACTCAATTCATAAAAAAAAAGTTAAAAAAAGGTAGACATTTCCTTCATCTTATCCTTCTAAGTGTTGTTTTCGTGCATGTACAGTACAGCAATATATGTGCATGTTTTCTAAATACATACATGCACCAATTTGGTAGGGGTGCTCGCACATTTTAATGTGATACCAGGTGAAAATAGCTTAGAAAGCACTGTTATTAGGTCTCTTCTGTAAGAAACCCTGGTTAGGGAGTAGGCAGAATGGTTGTAGAAATTATAGAGGAAAAGGTAACAGAAAGAAGGGTTATATCACCAAAAACTCATCTGTGACAGTTTTATTAAAGTCTTGCCTTACTTATATAGGGAAAACCCTACATAATTTCCATTTGAATCAGTAGAGATCAAACTCTGAACAGAGGAACATTTCAGTCTATCACGCAGTACATTCAATAATTTACATATTACCCAGATACTCAGTGAGCCAGGGAGCATGCTTAGGTATAAAGACACAGGAGAACAAGACAAGGTCCCTACTCTCCTAGAGCTTCTAGGAAAAAAACACAGATGAAAAATATGAGCAAAATAAATGCAAGTTATTCTAAAAGCAATGATATTACAGTGATATCCATTTCTGACTTAATTAAGAGCCTAAGCTAGAAAATATCAAGAAACAACCAACTTTTGACAGTCAAGCCAACATGTGTAGGAACTAGTAGTCCAGCAACACAGAAGAGGGAGAGGGTGTAGTTACAAATCAAGTCATATATAGGGCCTCTTGGTCAAGGTAAGGAGTTTATAAATTTAGTTTTAACCTAAGTTTACAAAAAGAAGCTAACAAAGGGTCCATGTTCTGCCCTGCATGATGAATGGATATTATAAAAAGAAACAGAAATAATCTCTTTTGTTACTACGCTAAAATTTGCATAAATGAAAGGCACAGACTTTAGTGTACAATCTCAAAACATATACACCCATGTACCCATCATCTTAATTTAGAGAACATTTTCATCACCCTAGAAAGTTTTAGGTTTTTTTTAAGTCAAGGCAATCACTCTTCTGACTTCTACCACCACAGAAACACGGAAGAACCTCAAACCTCAAAGTTTTCCCTTTCTTGAAGTTCTTGTAAACTGAACAGTCTAAAACATATTCTTTCATGACAGCCTTCTTGAACTTAATGTAATGTTTCTGAGGTTCTTCCATGTCGTGTCATGTACCAGTGGTGGTGGTGGTGTGCCGTGGCATCAGATGCAACTCATAGTGAACCTGTGTAGGGATTCTGAGACCTGTAATCTTAACGGCTGCAGAAAGCCTCATCTTTTTTCTGTGGAACAGCTGGTAGTTTTGAACTGCTGACTTTGATAGTAGTAGCCAGATTCATAACCACTAAGCTACCAGAGCATCTATCATATACCAATAGGTGTTTTAAAATGTTGAATATTTTAAGGGTATACCAATGTTTATTTTTTCATTCTATTAATGAGCATTTAGATTGTTTTCAGTTCAAGACACTTGAATAAAACCACCATGAATATTTCTTAACAAATGTTTCCATTCTCTTAATAAATAATTAGAAATAAGACAGCTCGTCTCTGAGGCACATCGAACAATGGAAACTGTTCTGCCAAGTGGATGAACCACTTCACAAACTCACCAGCAATTCATAAAAGTTCCAACAGTATTACAGCTTTATTAGTATTTAATACCATCAGGATGTTGTTGTTGTTTTTTACTTTAGCCGGTTCTATTGAGTACAAATTGGTAAAGGTGTTAAATATCATTACTTAGAATGGAAATGCAAACAAAATCACAGTTACATCGATTTCAGACTCAAACTGGTACGCCTTCTTTTGTGAAGTGTCTCTCAGGTCTTTTGCTCAAAATTTTAAGCGTTATTATTATTATGATTCAATTATCAGAACTCTTTATACATTTTAGATACATGCCATGCCTGTTGTCAGATTTATGCATTGTAAATATTTTCTTGCCTATTTTTTTTTTTTTAACTTTTATTGTCAATTATGTGGGTTTACATGGGAGAACATCAGTTTTACATTCATCCTATCATATTGTGTTTCATTGCAATGATTACAATCCCCTCCATGCATCATCAAATAACCAAAGGATACATCCCACAGGCCCGCCCCCTAGCTGACAGCACACAGCCCTTCTCCCTCCCTGAGCCCAGTGTCCCCACCTATTCCATCTGTCCACCTCATCATCTCTGTATCCATCCGTGGCATCACTGCCTCTCTGGGTAGGGTCACACTTTCTGCTCTTCTCAATTGATCATCCCAGGGACCTCCAATCCTG